CACAGACACACACACACAGACACACACAGACACACACACAGACACAGACACACACACACACAACGACGACGACGACGACGACGACGACCCTGCCTTGATACTAGAGGGTTGCATCCACTCTCACCCTTCCCACATATATATGGGAACTAATCATGTAAATGTTTAAACAGATGCCAAAGTGAACTCCCCAATTAATTAGAGGCAGGCATAGTTCAAGACATTTTGCTGCCTGAAACAAAGGTAAGAGGGGCCTTCCTTACTCAGGCCACAGTTCCAACTGCAAATTGAACGAGGGGAAATCTAGTGTCAGCCATGGGAACAGGGCCATTTTTTCTGCTGTTTCTGAGAGAAGGAGGGTAGCTTAGTGGGCCAGATTGGCAAATTTAGCTTCTTTGGTTTTCTGGCTCTGGGCAACTGCTCTGGTAGGTGCCTCATGGTAGGGCCAGCCTCGTTTGACGGAACTTATAACAAGCAAAAAGCAGAGGAGTCCTGAAGACGTTGCCCTTACGCCTCCCCCCCCCAAAAAAGCCAAGCCATCCACTTCCTCTTTCCCTTTGGATCTGGTGAGAGAGAACCTTAATGGTAGCCTTTCATTCCATCTTGTAGCCTCAGTCTGTAGAACTGTGGGTTGTTTTCATCCTTCTGGCACTGAGAATTACAGGCCACCAAAGCTATGGGAGCTTTGGCTGAAAATTGTGACAATGGAACTTTTTAAAGCGATGTCTTTGCTCCCCAGCTCACCATCTGCCTAAGTCACACAGGGTGCCCAGAAGTCAACCACTCACCTGACTGTATCAAACCAAAACTGGGATTAATGTCTGCAAAAGAGTGGTTTCACAAGAAATGCTTTTCTGGATTGTCACGTTTTATCAGACATTTGATCACAGTCTTGCTCTTTTGCGTCAGGCAGAACTTTCCTGACCACACACAGCAGGTTACAACAGATTATTGTTACTATAAAAAAAATGATATCAGCTGCTTCCAGGTTCAGGTTTTATAGAATTTGCCTGCTATCAAGTCAATTCAGAGTTATGGCGATCCTTTCCAGAGTTTTTCAGGTAGAGAATACTCAGAAGTGGTCGATCGCTCCTTTCTTCTGGGGAAGGAACCCTGGGACTGCGCAGTTTGCATGCAATAATGTGGGACCATAACAGTGCCTGTTTTTGCTTACAGTACCTATAACCCTGGACCCTGATACTGCCAATCCCTACCTCATCCTTTCGGAGGACCTGCAGAGTGTTCAGGTTGGAGATCGAAGGCAAGATGTGCCCAAGAGCTTGTCCCGCTTTGAGACGTGCACCTGCTTAATGGGTCGAGAGCGGCTCACGTCTGGCAGACACTACTGGGAAGTCTGCGTGGAGGGCAAGACAAGCTGGACACTCGGAGTGTGTGAAGAGTCTGTGAGCCGTGAAGGGATCTTCACACCCTCTCCGGCTACGGGGTTCTGGACTGTGTGGCTGCGGAATGGAGACGAGTATGCAGCTCTCACTTCCCCACTCACAGAACTAGCGCTGAGGTCCAATCCTGGGGCCGTTGCCATTTTCCTGGACTACGATGCAGGAGAAATCTCCTTCTACAATGCTGACAATGGGTCTCACATCTTCACCTTCAGGGACTCCTTCTCAGGACCCCTCCGACCTTACTTCTACCCTGGAGTCCGGGCGGGAGGCAACGATGGTCCGCTCACCATCAAAACAGCCGAACATGAGGAAGATCTCGCCCTGTTCAGCAAAGAGACCTTTTCCAGTCACTGACAGTGGAACTCACTGCCACTAGATGGAGACAAAGTTGTACCAAAGACTTAAGGCACTTTCCCACAAATGAGAAAATCATGGAGAGAAAGATTTGGAAGTTGCTGTTTTCATGCATGTGAGATCTAAATGATGGCCAGATTTGATGCTGACAAGGAGCTTTCTACATGAATTGGTTTGTGAATATGGAAAAGTTACTTTTTTTAATGGATTGTTCTCTCACCAATCTAATACTCCAACCACTGCATCATACTAGAATTTGAATGTATTTCATGTATATTCCTCATTTTAGCAGAACACTGTACTGTAAATTCACAGTACAAATACATTGAATCGTGGAGTGCAATGGTGGCGCTACTAAATACAACAGTAGCAACTGCGTCAGTGTTTTTAGAAACTTAGCCCTGGAGAAAAAGGTGTCTATCAGGACTTTAATACCCAGGGAGGAGTGGTTTAATCATAGCCAGTGTGGTGTTGTGGTTAGACTGTTTGGCTAGAACTTGAGGACTCCAGGTTCTCATTCTCACTAAGTGATAAAACATAATCCCTGACCTTGGTCAGGCCAATCTGACCTACTTTGCAAGGGTGTTGTGTAACCACAAAGTGAGATGAAGAGTCATGTGTGCGGCTTGGAGCTCATTGGAGGAAAGGCAGAATATGGATGAAACAAGTAAAAAACAAACAAACCCACCAATCTTCTCCCTACAATTATTAAGCAGTGAAAGGGGGGCTCTCATAGACACCAATTGGGACCTTTTTTCTTCTGCGCTCAATAGCTGGACAATTTTGGAATGTAGATAACAGACAAAAGTTAACCTCCAATTTCCACAGAAAGTAGCCCCAATGAAAATCCTAAAATAATTATTTATGACACATTTTACTTTTAATTTGATCCTCAGATGGGGATCACTTTTATTTTTAAAGGAGCAAGAACTTTAAGGCAATAGTTCCTAACTTTGGGTCCGTGGATATTCTATAACCAAAACTCCCATAAATCAGTCGTTGTGCTGGCCAGGATTTCTAGGAGTTGTAGGTCCAAGGACATCTATGCACCCAAGGTTAGGAACCACTGCTTTAGGGCAATACAGTTGACCTCTGATGACATCTCTGGGCATTATGATCGCTACAGATCATTAGCCAAGGTCATTGTGATCTATGGTGACATTATTAGGAGTCTACAGCAATAGGCTAGATGGGAAAGAACTCTAGAAGTGATGGTTAATATAGTTTTTCAGAACATCTAAAGCTAACTATATACCAGTGAACCCTCCTTCTCTAATGGAATTGGCAACAATAATGCCAGAGAGCTGTACAACGTCATAGGGAAAACTTTTCCAAAAAATGTAGCTGTGTCAGTCTGTTCCAGCATGTTGGCAAAATTAAAGAGAAAAAAGATTTTAAAAAATTGACAGGGATTACAAAATACTTAAAAATACTACAAAATCTTTCATCCCTCTCCCCCCTTTTCTCTTGTCTTCTTGAATTTGGCTAATGTAGGCAAACGAGTAAATCCATGGTACCAGATGAACTCCAAGAGAGTTCAATGGTATTCTTCAAAATCTCTGAAGACAGATGGTCCTGTTTTTTTGTCTCCATCATTGCTAGGGTCCCAGCTCTATAACCTGTACTAAGTAAATGTTGTTTATATGATAATCATCTTGGAACTGCAGAGCTCGAAGGAACCTTAGAAGTCATCAAGTCCAGCATGGGGTGCGGGGGAGGAATGATGACAGCCAGCTTCCTCCTTGCAGCTTTATTGATGGAAGAACCTGCTCAGGCAGTCCTGTAAGTTATTGTCCTTTGATGTCCATGGGGGTTTATCATGGGATGCTGTGAATTTCTTGGATTCAGAATGTGAAGGATGGAGATGTGTCAGAGACTTAAGGTCAAGAAACGTAGAGATTGTGAGAGCAGGTTGTTCAAAGTAATATAAAGAAGTGCAGTAAGAAGAAGAACCAGAAGGACAAGGATGAGGAAAAGCTAGCGTGGGCAACCTGCAATCCGTGGGTGACATGTGGTTAATTGTTTTTGCCAGTCACTTACCTCTGTCTTTCTCTCTCTTGTCATGCACGGACACACACATGCTAAGAGAGTTGCAGTAGGAGCAGCAATATTGGTGTGTTTTTTTTAAATTCGCAAACAAGGTGCACATGGAGCATGTACCTTATTTTTATGAGGAGCAGAGCTCTTGGAAACTTCAAGAAAGTATGAAAACAAGGTCTTGTTTACATTTTAAGATTAGTGGTTTTGCCATTACCACTTAGAGAGAAAAAAAATCCCAAATCAGTAGCTTTTCTTGAGATACATCCCCAATGGGTTTTAGAGAGTCTAATGAATCCCACCTTGGCTGCAAAATGTTGACCACTTCTGTTTTAAGCATACCTAACGGACTAGAAGGGTTTAAGTCTCAAAACACTAAATCATATTGGATTATGTTTTATATAACCATTGCCTAATGGGAAATTCCAGATCACCAAGCAGGATGCAATTTTCACTAGAAACTCTAGCATCACAGAGGATATTAACTTTTTCTGCGGCACTTGGCAAGGATAACTGTTGTGTTGCAAAATTGTTACTATTTTTTCCCCTGCCACTCCAGTTATTTTCAAGTCATAGTTCTCTCCTCTTCGTCTTTACTATGCTTCTCTTTCACAAGGGTAGGCTATGAGTGTGCTTGAGCTAAAGCAAGTGTCAGCAACCTCCAGAGATCCAGGGGCAACACAGACTCATCCCCAGATCTTCAAGTACCGTAGCCCCAATATAGGTTTATATCACCTCTGTGAGAATTAAGCCCAAGTGAGCTCCATTTGCACAAAGCAAATGAGGTAGAATGAGATGGGATATGAACCCACAAAAATACTTATTTGCTGGGCCACCATGAGCATTCAGTGGCAATAATCTATGGCATCAGAGGGATGAGATAGAGTGGGTGGCTGGGAGATAGGCAGCTGGGCATTCCAGTTCAGGGGTGTTGTGAATCCACTCCAGATTTTAGATGGAACATTACAAAGGGTATCCAGGGTGTTGAACCTCATCTCAGAAGTAGAGTCAGCACCTTGCATAACTCTTGTAAAGTACAGGCTAAAACCCAAAATGGGTCCACAACACCTCTGGAATGAGAGTGCCCAGCTGCCCCTGGATTGATGAGCTGTTGCTGATGAACACAGGAAAGCAAATGAGTTAACCTGGGGAGATCGAATGGGCTGGAATTTGGTTGTGAAGATCTAAGTTCAAGTTCTTGGATTGCTATGAGGGTAGCCACTTTCACTGTCTTTCTCACTCTCCCTCAGTCAAGCCCATCTCATGGACTGGCGGTAAAGGTAAAATCTTTAAAGATTTAGGAAGGGGGATGTGTATCACTTGAGCTTCTTTGGGGGAGATGTAATATAAATGTAATACTAGTAAGGGGGATGGGAATACATGGACACATCTCTCAGAGTATAAAAAGGCAATGAATTGTGGGAGAATCTTCAGTGTGCATAGTGCTGGACAGGTAGTCAGCGCAGACCTAAAACTGCTTGAGGCAAAAAGCAAGGTAACATTCTCTATCCCATGTATTGGGGGGGGAGCTCTCTGCATTAGTGAGGGGGCAGTGTCCTCCACTGAATCAGAAGGGAGGAAGCAGATGCCATGCTGTCTTCTGAATACACACAACTCTGTCCTCAGCATGTTTCTCTACTACACCAGCTTCCTTCCAAAGGAAGTTGCTTCACTTTGTCAATCATTAGGGTTGGTCCTATGGTTAATTTTATACGGCAGAAATTACATCAGGATGAGAGTTGTGCATGCAACATTTCCTCAGATGACCTAGTCTGTTAGCAGACTCACGGAACCATGTTTTTTCAGTGACGCTTCTGTGGGTGGCAATTAATGTCTTTTGTGTTCTGGTGACCAACATCTTGCTCAAGCTCTTCATCCTATATGTGAAAAGTGCAACAGCTGCTGCCCAGACACAGTTTCAGTTGCCTTTTTGTGGCAGCCAGTTCATCATCATTGGAAAACTGTTTGGGAACCTGTAAAGATTGTACTGGCAAATTTGACTAAAATGATTTACCAGTAGAGACTTTTCTTTACCATTTTCAGTGGTGTACAAGGGATGTGTAATTATCTGTTTGTTTGATTTTTATAAGAACTTTTTCAAATTCTTGTCTCTTCCTACAAATTCTGCAAAAATAACTTGAAAAATTTCAAGTGTGTCAAAAAGCAAAATGGTCAGTTTCCCCAACCCAGACAGAAAGATTTGCTTCACTCCTCAAAATTAGGCTTTGAGTCACTGTGTATTCAAGTGTGTTTGTGGTTCTAAATTATGTTTGCTATTTCTCCCCTCCACCCCTTGGAAAGATACTTTTAGTTTTTAGCAGATACATGTCACAAAGGTAGTGCATGACCCTCTCCATATTGAAAATGAACCCCTTGGAAAGATACTTTTAGTTTTTAGCAGCTACATGTCACAAAGGTAAAGGTAAAATCCTCTCCATATTGAAAATGGCTCCCTGCGCCTCTGGAGTTCTCCAATGAAGATGAGTGGGAATGTCATTCAGAGTTTTTGAACTGAACTCCCCAAAACCTACATGTTTGCTGTAAAAGTGATGGTAAGTTCTTTAGATTTAAAAAATCAAGATACAGGAGGAACTGTGCTTGCTGGAGCCACTCATCCCTAAGAGAAGTCGGCCATGCTATCCTTCTTGTTGCCTGCCTCTAAATACAATGGATGGCTCCTCTTTATTACACATTTTGCAGCTGTTGTGGTTAGATGCAAGGGGATGTCCATGGCTCTACTCATTTGTGCCTGCCTATGGAGGTGAAAGTGGAGTTGGGGGGCTTCAAAGCATCGAAATCTAGGCAAGCTCTGCACTCAAGGGCTGACTCTTAACTTTAGCAGTACCCCTGGTACCACATTGGCATCTTTTAACAATCTAGCCATCTAGTGACTTAAAAATGTGTGGGTTGCTACAGCTAGTTGGCTTGCTTTTGATAACAGTGGTGGGTTGCCATGGTTGTTGTTGCTGCTATTTGGCTTATCTGATGGAGATATGGCTAGACAGGCACTGATCCTGACCCCCCCCTTTTGTGTGTCTCTCTGTGTGTGTGTGAGTGTGTGTGTGAGTGTGTGAGTGTGTGTGTGTGTGTGTGTGTGTGTGTGTGTGAGAGAGAGAGAGAGAGAGAGAGAGAGAGAGAGAGAGAGAGAGAGAGAAACAGGACTTTTTCCAAACTTAACCCTGCAGCCTATTGCAGATCTTAGTTTATATTAGCTTCCAGTATTTTCCCCTCCCTTTTTGGACAATGGGGTTCCTTCTGGGACCAACCCCAACCCCCCATGTATGCTGGCTCGGTAGTGAAGACTGTCTCTGTGTGAGTTTTATGATGGACACGATGGGCTCTCACTTAGGATCAAGCCACTGCCCATGTGTTGCTAGAAGGTAAGGACAGGCCACCTAGTGCCCTTCCAAGGTTTCAAATCACAAGGGAGAGAGCTGTTGACAGTGGTATGGATTGCCTCTCCTCCTTTGGAGGTTTTCAAATGGAGGTTGGATGGCTGTCTCTCAGGGATGCTTCACGTGTGGGTTTTCCCATTCAGCAACGGTTGAACCTGGTGGTCCTTGAGGTCCCTTCCAGCTCTACAGTTCTAGGTCTATGCAAGGGATGTGGGAGGAAAGGTTAAATTCTCCCACCATCCCCACTTTGTTCTAGACAGGGAGCTCTGGAATCACAAAATCACAGAAGTGTAGAGCAGTTCTCTTGAAGGCAGGCTTCCTTGTGCATTCCAAAATGGAATATGCAAACTTTTAGAATCAAATGTGTCCCAGTGCTTTCCAAAGCCTTGGCGCAGCCCC